TTTTTAAATAAACCAAACTAAACAAAAAGATTGCAGTAAATAGACTTTTAAACTAAAGCAGATCATAACCACTGCTGTGCCAGCTAGGCTGTCCTGCAGATATTTGACACTCATGTGGGGGGTTTGTGTCACTTTCTCCCCTAAATTGTGAAGTTCAGCCTTAAAACTTTCTTCATCTTCCAGCTTTCATCTTAACTCCCACCTTATTGGTTTAAGTTTTTTAAAATAACATTTCTGACAATGAAAATTGACAGTTGGAGGTGCATTTCTATCTTTTTATAGCCTTTCAGTGGTTTTATTTAAATTATTTTTAAAATGACATGTCTGACCGTGGTTTGTATAGACAGAGGTCTTTAGTGACTCTACGTTGGCCTCCATAGTTAACTCATTTTGATGAGGCTTTACTGTTATAAAAAAAGGAGAGTGGAGAGCTCACGTTTTAAAATCTGATCTAAAGGTTCCACTTTGCCAAGAAGGACCTTTATGATACAATAAAACTACAACAAAGTGCAGGTACTAGGGCAGTAGTATTTAGTTACCTGAAAACATTCCTACAATCAAATTTTAGATTGTAGTAACACACATTCATCTGCCTATAAGATTTAATTGCTCATTAACCGAGGGAACCAGAATACAGTTCAGGATCCTTCCAGCCCACTTTAACCGCTGGTCATATTTAACATAAGCTTGAAAAACAGTCAAACCTCTTCTTTAGATGTTACCTTTACAGGCTGTGGCTGTAGACACTCACTGCTGTACCTCTCTCCTCTCCTCCTCAGTGATATTATTCTGTGTGTGTTTTTTAGGATGAAGCCAAACTATAGATCTTAACTACATTAGAGTTTTTTCTGGTAACGATAAAGGTAGATGTGAATAATCTCCATTTGTCTCCTTTTGTAATACTTAGTGTTTATTAAATACCACTCATGAAATGTGATTACTGATGTTGCAGACATGTGTCTCGTAACCCCAGAGATACACAATGGAGGCACTGATCATGAATTTTTATTTATAGCTTTTCAGTCCTTTTACTTTAGAGCAGTTTTAACCATTTATTTGTTCACCAAAAACAGTCTTTGCTTTCATAATTTTGACATTGAAACGATGAGTAAATATTCCCTTTGAGTGCAGCTGCCAGTGGTTGTTTCCACATTTATGAAAATCGAGGTTCGTGGAATTTTGTGACTTTTGCAAAAACACACTAAAGACAGACAGCATCAACAGTGCAGGGAAAATGTAAATTTTAGTTTCTGAGTGCAGTTTATCCATACTGCACAAACAGAAGGTAAAATGACAGAACACGGGCAGTCATTCCACTTCTTTGTGTCAGTTGTGTGGTTGTCCTGCATCCCAGTAGACAAAATCTACTGCACAACCATCAGACCACATCCAGCTGCCTTCTTTATGGAGGGCAGTAAGGTTTTGAGGAAAAAAATAAACATTTTTATAGCACAGTCTTTAAAGGGTGTTTAAAGGATTTTATTTCTTTATCTCAGAGTTGACTGTTCATGTAAATGGACTGGTTCTTACAGAGTGCTTTACACAACTTGTTTATTCACCCAATCACACAAGCACTTTTTCCTAAGCTCTTCCTAACTGACATTAACACAACATTCACAGTCTGATGGATGCATCAGAGAGCAACATGGGTTAGTAATTTGCCCAAGAATATTTGGTATGCAGACTGGAGCAGAGTGGGATCAATCGACTAACATTCTGGTTAGTAGATGGCCTGCTCTTCCACCTGAGCTACAGCCACCAAAACGCTGCCAAATGTGGAAACATGATTGTTAAAATCAATGTGTTTTGTGCAGTTGAGCCTGTGTGATTAAAAAATGCCCTCACTGTTTGAGAACTGCATGAAAACTTTTCTCCTGCGATAATTGAGCCAAATCGATTGATAAAAACTGTAATTAGACTTGAAGTTATTCTGGGAAGATCAATGAGGAGGTGCATTTTCTACATTCATCCTTATTTGAAATACTAACTGCGTGCTGATGAAACATGCACCCGCATGTCTGTGACACCAGTTACACGCTTGCATGTTTTCTCATAGGACCTGTAACCCCAGAGTTAAACAGTGGTGGCACTGATGATGAATTTTCATGTTTAATTGTTTTTTCCTTTTTATTTGGAGCAGTTTTAAACATCTATTAATGTGCCAAAAACGATTTGCTTCTGCACAATGCAGCGAAAAGATACATTTCAGTTTCTAAGGGCAGGTTATTTGTGTTGCACAAACAGAAGCTAAATTGAGAGAACACTGGTGATCATTCCACTCCTTTACTTCACGCACATTAGTGTGAACACAGTGCTCATCTGTTCCACCGTTGTTTGGCTCGCCAGCACCCCAGTAGACAAAACTGACTGCACAACCATCAGACCACATCCATCTGCCTTCTTTATGGAGGTCACTCAGTCCAATCCAGGTCCATCGCTCAGCATGGTCAAAGTTCTTAATCAAAGATTTAACAAACTCCTCTTCCTCCCTGCTGTGGATAGACACCAGGTTGGCTCGCTGTGACACACAGTAGAGCTCTGCATCAGCCCAGCTCATGTGTGTGGCCACATATTTGTAGCAGCGGCCATTGAAGCTGTACCAGAACGGGGGACAGCTTCCATGCAGTAGTTGAACTCTGTGGTCATCTGAAGAAGACACAGCAGTCAGAACTCGATGAAAAACAAATAACTGTTTTTGCCAGTGTGACTGACATTTTTTCTTTGATGTAACCTCTGAAGAACATCAGAAAAGCATGTCTGCACAGCTGAAATGTTGAAAATTAAAAAAATGCAGAGAAATATGCTGCTCTTATCATGTTTATTAGCAGGTCTTTATCATAACTCTACAGTATAGTAGAACTTCTCTGACACGGGGGGGAATCTATGTTACAATGAAACACCAAGAATTTTGTATCACTGACTGCTGAAACAGACAACAGAAAATCTTGGAGTATTTGACTAAATTGTGATTAAGATAATAAAAAAAACCCCCACAAAAATAAAGTTAAATAAAGGAGGGGAAGGAAGAGTCAGAATATAGGATGGTTACCATGTTGTAGCTTCACTTCACTGCCATCAAAATGAGTCTCAGAAGGAGCACCCAGAGCCAGACTGAACAAGAAGAGGAGCAAGATCATGTTGGAGCTTTACGTCTCAACCTTTGATGAAGAGCTGCTGAAGCTTCTTTGTACAGGATTTCTGCAGAGAGGTGGAGCTGCTTTCTTTTATAGCTGCCTGAGAGGGAGTTTTCACCGATCACTGTGATATCATTGACCAAATGGAACAAAACTCTCCACTGTAAACATCCCTAACACCGGGCAGTAAACACCATCAGATTGTAAAGAAATTAATAATTGCTGAACAGCCACATCCTCCTGGCAGACTCAGAAGAACGTGACTGTTTTTGTAGTAATAGGATAATAACATACAAAGGCAGAACAAATTCTCAACATTAAAGAGGACTGAGCATCCAGAGCCACCCAAAAAAGAAGAGGAGCAAGATCATATTAGAGCTTTAAGTCTCAAAGATGATGAGGAGCTGCTGAAGCTTCTTCCTACAGGATGTTCAGATTCCTGCAGAGTTGGAGCTGCTTTCGTTTATAGCTGCCTGAGAGGGTCTTTTCACTGCTGGTGTGACATCACTGGGCAAACGGCTCAAAACTCTCAACTATACACAATATTTAACAAAAGCCAGAAAAAAAGATCAAATTTCCAACACATGAAGAAATGTTGTTTGTTTTTTGATGTGTTATTTATATTTATTGTGTCATAAAGGTGTTATCAGCACAATGACTAATCAAACAGGACAGGTCAGAGCTCTAACAGGTAAAAACTCCTGAGTTGCTCCATTAAACAAAGACAGAATGAACTCCACACAATCAAGAGGATCCTTAGTACTGGACCCAGAGATATGTGACTCTCCTATGGCAGTAAATGACAAAATAGATAAACTATTAGCACCTTTGGTTTAGTAGAATTACTTCACTGTTTGTTTGTCTGAATAATTATGGTTTTATTATATTATAAAATCACATTATCAGCAAAAAGAAAACAGATAAATGACTGTACCAGGAAGAGGAAACAGAAGATTGTGATCTTTCCAGTTAAAAATACAAAACAAACCCTGTTTAGTTTTTTTTTTCATTTAAAAAAGACTGTGTGTTAATTCTTTTTTTACTTTTCCACTTTGAGATATTTACCGTGTATACAAATGTCTAAGCACTCTTATGTCTATTACAATTGTAAAGCATCCAAAATAAAACCCCTGCAGTAACCAAACTAATCTAAAAGCAGATCATTACCACTGCTGTGTCAGCTACACTGTCCTGCAGATATTTGGCACTCGTGAGAGGTTTGTGTGATCGTCTTAAAGCTTTGTTCATCTGAGCTTCCAACATATCCCTTTACTGAAGTTTCCTGATAACATTTCTAACAGTGGAAACTGACATTTGGAAGTGAACCTCTATCTTTTTATAGCCTTCAAGTGGTTTGTACAGTGGCTTGTAAAAGTATTCGTCCCCCTTGAACTTTTCCACATTTTGTCACATTACAGCCACAAACATGAATCAATTTTATTGGAATTCCACGTGAAAGACCAACACAAAGTGGTGTACACGTGAGAAGTGGAACAAAAATCATACATGATTCCAAATATTTTTTACAAATAAATAACTGAAAAGTGGGGTGTGTGGGGGTTAACCCTAACCCTAACCCTAACACTTATTTTAAAGGTACACTTTTATAAATTCAACATGATGTCACAAACTTTGCATATAATTTAAGACCAGTTTCATTAATATACTCTGGATTGCATCAGAAATGAATCTTCTATTATTAATTTTATTAAAGGACAAAACACACCAATGCCATTTACTGAGAAAGTTTCATAGACAGGTAGAGATGGCAGTAGAGGGAAGGCCCTTTTTGTCATTAAGCTGTGTGTGAATCATAAAATCAGATATAGCTACCTAGCATTAACCGGTTGGCCAACCATAAATATTAAAGCAACAGATTTCATAATGTACACATGCTAATACAAGTCACTCTCTAGTGTCTGCAAACAGCTGAACTTGTAGTGATTATTTATTGTCTTCTATTGTTCAGCTGTTCCTGGAGATAATTTGTCTCAGTTTACGAGTCATATTGACACAGTCAGCAGAAGAACAGGTCAGTGCTGCGCTGCTGTTCTCAAATGTTAAACTAGAAGTGTACTTGAACTTCATGAGTCAGACTCACTCCTTTGACTCACTTTCAGAGTCAGAGTGTTAGCTGAGAACTGTAGATCCCTAAATTGACACCCAGTGTCTTGTTTTTGTTTATAAACTTCAGAGTGGTTGTCGTAGTTGTCATAATATGAAATTGAATAAAGCTTTTGCTTTTGTACAGCTACAAAGATGATAAACAGGTCAGCAAAGAACTTCATGTCCCTTGAAGTTCTACCTAACTTAACAGCCACACCCGAAGCCACACACCTGCTGCTGATCAGGCCTCGTCGGGGGAGCTACTTAGGAGAGTCTTGGAGCTCCCCCGACGTGGGATCATTGCTTGAGACACCACGTTAGTTACCCAGTTGTGCTTGGTTAGTGTGTGTTTATATGCCCGCGGTTGTATGTGTCCTGACGGCTGCTTCTATTGTGTCCCCAGGAGAGGGGTGGAGTGCCAGACAGCAGCCAGCATGGGGAGTGCTGAGACACGGGAGCGGAGAGCACAAACACTAGGAGAAGACATGACACGGGAGTCTGGGGAAAGCACGGGGATTTATTGTTGTTTAGTCTCATACACTGTAAATAAATGCACTGCTTGTACATAGAGCACCGCGCCTGGGTCCTCCTTCCCCACACCCCCCACGGTCTGCCAGCCAGACCGTGACACTTTGAATATGTAAGGTTCTCAGTTGCTATGGGCAAGCTACACGAGTAGCACAAACAGAGGCATAAGTTCTAGAACACGGTACATCATTCCACTTTGTATCATAGTTGTTGTGACCACAGTGTTCAGCTCCTCCTTCGTTGTCTGGTTGTCTTGCATGCCAGTAAACAAAACTCACTGCACAACCATCAGACCACATCCATCTGCCTTCTTTATGGAGGTCACTCAGTCCAATCCAGGTGCGTCCCTCAGCATGGTCAAAGTTCTTAATCAAAGATTTAACAAACTCCTCTTCCTCCTCACTGTAGATGGACACCAGGTTGGCTTTCTCAGACACACAGTAGAGCTCTGCATCAGCCCAGGTCATGTGTGTGGCCACATATTTGTAGCAGCGGCCATTGAAACTGTACCAGAACATGGGACAGTTTCCACGCAGTAGTTTCACTGTCTGGTTACCTAAAGAAAACAGAAACAAGAAGAGAAACAGGATCATGCTTTTTGTCAGAGTCGCAAAGTTTAGCTGCTCGAAGTAGCTCTGAGATCCTGAAGGTGCCACAAAGTAACAGTCTGCCTTTTCTTATATGCTTCAAAAAGGGATTCTTCATATCAATTTGGCAAAAAACAATCAAAAACCCCTTTACTCATACAGAACTACATAGAAGATGGACATAAGTGAAAACAGGAAACCTGGTCCACCTGGAGATGGCCTTTGAGGAACGTGATTATATATTAACAATATTAGAAGTACAAGACCTTCATAATGTCTGCTTGTGAAATTCACGATTTCTTTTGAAACAACAACAACAACAACAACAACATAACTTTCATTAAAATACTGAAACTGTCATGTGGTGGTTTAGACAGAAAAGGCTCATCGTAACAATGTCTCCATCTTCTGCTGAACTCAGCTGACCAATACAAAGGTTCACTGTTAGTACTCTGAAAAATGTATACATGTGTTTGTTATTCTGTGTCACTGTGTGAATACCACAGGTCCTTGATATAACAGGTATTATCTGTACAGTCTCATTTTGTGAGAAGTTATGTATTAGTTAACTTTAGGCAATATATCTCTATGATGGACAGTCAGTATTTCAGCACATTACATCCACTCAATCTGAAGTATCAACATGTCCTCTGAAAACCCGGTTCTGCCAATCTGGGATGTTTTATTGATAACAAAAGATCAGTCTGTCCATAAAGATGAATGTTAAAATGCAAAGAGTAAACTGCTCTTTCATTAATGAGCAGGTCTTCATCATAACTCTGTGGTGTAGCAGAACCCATCTGGCATGACTTTGAAATGTTTTTGCTGCATTTCAAAATCCAACAAAAACATGAGAGACATGGGAAAGAAGGGTTTTTGGAGTGTTTAACTAAATCATTTTTAGACAAAAAACACAGAAATGCACTGTCTGTAAGTAAACCTGGTGAAATGTGTAATAAATACCATTGTGTTTATCTCAAGTTGAAGGGTCCTGCGTGAAAGTCCTCAGTGAACCACGTCACTGAAGAATATCAGATAAGCATGTCTGCACAGTTGACACTGTGAAAGTTAAAACATGCAGAAAAGTAAGCTGCTCTTATTGTGTTTATAAGCAGTCTTTATCATAACTCTACGGTACAGTAGAACCCACGGGGAAAAAATCTATGTTACAACCCAACACCAAGAATTTCGTATCACTGACTGCTGAAACACAACAAGCAGAAAATCTTGGAGTGTTTGATTAAAATTTGATTAAAATAATTAAAACACACACACACACACACACACACACACACACACACACACACACACACACACACACACACA